GGAGGAGACACACGGACACAAACCGAGCGCTGTGTGCACCGAGCTGTGCCCTGCGCTGGCCCCGAGCAGCCTGCACGGGCTGTGACTTTCACCCCAGCCCAGCACCTCCTGCGCCGGGAAAAAACTGTTTGGTTTGCAGTGTGCACAGGCTTTGTCTCCGAGGATGACTGTCCTGAGCCATTTATAGCTCCAGTCTGGGACAGTGTCCCTGGCCCAGGTCCTGTCCTGCAGCGGGTCTTCCAAAAAGCTACTGCTGTGCTCTGCAACTGTAAGGGAACTCTCCCTGCAGAAGTGAAGGGAGGAAAAGGAATATTCCTGCTCTAAAACCTCGGGGGAAAGCTGGATTTTCAGACAACCGGTCCCAGGTTAATAAGGATAGGCAAAGCTATCACAGAAGTTGTGTTCATGCTTCATCAAACAACATCCAGCACCTGCTCCAACACCAGCAAGCCCTATCAAAGCTTAGACCTGGACTATTGCACTTTCTGCCTCCTGGTATTCCATACTTCAGCACCAGGGGCTGCAACCAGCACTGCAGGAGACAGGGAAGGTGGAACCTGGTGACACTTGAGTTCAGCTGTGGTGACATACAGGAGTTCAGGGTGCCTGGTCTCCAGGCAGTGCCACCACTTCACTCCAGGAGGACACCCTGCCAATCTCCCATTTGTATCTTACAGGTTTGGAGGATGATGGCAATGGAAACAGCAGACCACAGGCACTACAGGGGAGAGACCTTAACGGTATGTCACCTTCTTCTACTGATAAACCAACCCCAGTACACACCACCCCTTTGCAAGCAGTGCCAGCAGTGCCTCTCGAGCAGAGATGCTGACAACCACACCAACACTCTGCTCAGGGACTTCTTCGCCTCCAAGCCCCCAGCATTGCCCTTCCCTCCCACCCACTTCTCCAAACACACTCCCCCTGGCCCAAGCACCCTGACCCCCATCCCGAGCGGCAGCACCCTCGGCTGGAGCATCCCTCTGGAGTGGGGTCAGGCACCCCTGGACAAGGAACAATTGGGCTTTGAAGGTGGAGAACAGGGTGAGGCTCCTTGTGTCCTTACCTACTTGGCTGCTGAGCAAGGGCATGGATTTAATCCACCTTTGGGGCACTGAGATGTCTTCCCTTGTGCAACCAGGTCAGCATGTCTCCGGGGAGCTCTGCAAGCAGACACAACCCATCACTTCACACTCTGATGAAGGTAAGTGGTGACCCAAGAGACAGAGCTGGGCTTCAGCGAGTTCCCAACTAGCTTTTCTGTAATAAAATAACCTCAGAACGCCCCAAAAGAGAGAAAAAGTCTCACCCTGGGCCAGCTGTACCCAAAGCACTTGTTGGCTAAGGACTTGTCTAGCCACAGAGCATGAGGAGAAGGGCAAGTATTGCTTTTGAGCAACCTGGGCTAGTGGAAGGTGTCCCTGCCCATTGCAGGGGATTGGAATGAGATGAACTTTAAGGTCCTTCCAACCCAAACCAGTCTCTATGATTCTTTATGGAGAATATATTGACCAGGAATAGTAAAATTCAAAAATTCATAAGAGCATCAGTGACCATTTCACACCACCAGTTTTCAAAGCAATGGATGTAGCACTTGGAAAAATTCCTGTGGAATCCCATTTTTCATTGTGAAATGCCTTTGAAACTCCCTGGCAGGAGGCAATTCCTCACCAGTAATTTTGTTTCTTGAAAGCAAAGAATTTTAGTTCAAGGGGAAAAACAGACAGTGGAAGTTGGTGAGAAAAACCCAAAAACCCCCATAGCTAAAAATAATAATGAGAAATAAAAAAGGACCCCTGAAAATGTAAAAACCTTAAGGAAACCAAACCATTTGCACACATCCCTTTGAGAACCAACTTCATTTTCCCTTCGAGTTGCCTGACAAAACACACCAGTCAACCCTGATCCTGACACCTTGATAGCTGCTCCATCCCAGAGCTCTAGGATTTAGGGGTTTTACAGTTTTTCTTACTTAAAGGCTTAAAGGACACCAAACCTCTTTGCATAATCACAGGAGAAAATAGGAGAAGCTTCACTTTTTTGAAGTCAAACACTGCAGGAAAATTTACTCTTTGATGAATCAAAGTGCAGATTCCTACCTAACCAGCTGGTTCCAAGCACTGGCTCTCAAGGAAATCCCCAAATGTCACAAAACTCTTGATAAAATCATAGGAGGCATCACTGGATGGCAGCCCCGAGGTGCAATAACACCTTGACCTTCAGTCTCCCAAGTCACCATGGTGTGATCCCAGATGGAAGCACAGTAATATCCTCCAGGGAACCTCAGGTGCTGCAAAACCTTCTGAAACACCTGAAGAAAAAAAAAAAAAAAAAGGCAGGCGCTGCCAAAAAGTTCAGGTAGTTCTTAAAAGATCCTACCTAACTTTTGTCCTTGAACTTCTCTTTGTGAGACTTTGAAGCCCAGACCCCCAGGTTTCCACAGGAGGTTGTTCTGGAGCACTGTGGCACATCTGAACCATGGCCAGCTCTGCCAGATCACTGCCTCTTACAGCCAACAGTCCCTGCCAGGCGTTTTAGTATCAAACCCTTTTCATCACTCTGAGGCTCTTTCTTTTCAACTCCAAGAAAAATCAATGAAAGACATTGATTCTCTGCTTACTGTAGCTCCATCCAGAGCTCTTTAATATGGTGATAAACCGTCGCAATCACCAGAGCTGCTGCTTTGTTCCAAGTTAAGAGCTGTCTCCAGCACTGCCTCAGCTGGCAATCCTGCCCTTCTCCTGCATGTCCTGCTTGCTTTTCCCTTTCTTATGGAGTCTGCCATTGTTTCTTGCAGGAGCACAAGTGACAGTGGAGATCCATCGTGAGAACACTCCCCCCCAGCCCATTAAAATCCACTCCTCAGAGAAAGGTACAGCCCCAGCTTTAAACCCTGGCAGAGGCTTTGAGCATCCTCCCCTCCCTCTGCAGAAGAGCTCGAGGGGATGCCACACCCTTCGGGCCAGGGGCTGTGGGGCTCCCACTAACCATGCTGGGGTTGTTGCAGGTTCCCAGAGGATGAAAGGACACGACAACAAAGGTGAGGCTCTTCCCTACCCCAGCACACACCTCCAAGCTATCCCTCAGCTGGGAGGCTCTTCCCAGGAGGAGACAAGCTCCTTCTCCTCATGAGAGGATGCCAATCCCTATACCCACTCTCCCTGATGGGAAGATGCTGCTGGACTCTGCCCACAGCTGGGGCTTGAGGAGCAAAATCCTTCTGCTCCTGGCGTGGGAGGGTCTCCTCCTCCTCCAGCCCTGGGATAAGGAGGTGATGACAGTCTGGGGGCCACAGAGTCCCTCAGAAATCCTCCAGCTGCTGCAGAGCTCTCAGCAGGGTTATCATCTAACAGCTCTGGAGCTCAGCTCTCCCTTCTTCCACGCCTGGGGGGTTTGGCCATGGCAGGCAGGGGTTTGGCGGCCCCAGCCCCTGGGCTGGAACAGGAGATCCCTGACTGCTGGGGAATGTGGTCTCTGTGGGACACAGAGCACTGTGCTGCAGGCTGCTTGCTGGCACCCACACCCCACAGTGTGCTGACATCCGTGTCCAAATGGAAGGGAATGGGCAAGGAAAAGCCTCAATTCCAGCCTTTTCCACCCAGTCCTGCTCCCCAGAACCACTTACTTCTGTTTGTGCTTTTTCCTCCACCAGCAACTCACACTCCCTTCTCCACTCTGCAGGTTTCCAGGGGACCGAGGGCCCACGGCCACCAGGAGCCAAAGACCTGCATGGTAACTATCCATTGCCACATTGCCCAAACCCTTGCCCATCAGGATGGCAGATGAGGGTGACTTGGGGAATGTCCTACGTGCCCCAGCCCTTCCCAAGGCTCCACGCCCAGGGAAGGCTCCTCTGCAAACAGCCACGATGCACACTAACTCCTCAGGGCTGCCCAAGTCACTGAGATCCTGCTCCTGCAGGGAACCTGTGCAGCTAGAACCTGGCAAAGACACATCCTGATAACCAATCTTTAAAAAAAATATCCCCTTCTCAACAGGCAAAAAGCAATTTTCAGTGCTGCAGGGAGAGGGAACCTTTAACGTGTAAAATCTCTCTTTAGGCCAGTGTCACAGCCTTTTCAGGGGAAACACAGATAAACAATCCAGGCTGACACAGAAACAGACATAGCTGTGCACCTGGCCTGGCACAGGGATGTGTACATCCCACCTGGCAGGCAGCACTGGGACTGGGACATGGGATGTCCCCAAACCCCTCCCCAGGGCAGAGGTTTCCAAGAAGAGCAGGGCTTAGCTACCAAAACGCCTTTGCAAGTCAGGAATAGACCTTCTGGCTATCTCCCCAGTGGGCTGGAGCTGGCAGCAGAGACCAGAGCCGCATTTTTGGGAGGTGTCAAGGGAGAAGGTGATGAATATAGATTTCAGAGGCACTACCAGCATCTCAGCTGGGACAGGATGCTCTCGGAGCCTCTCCTGCATCCTGCTCCCTCTGGCACTCGCTGAGCAGGGAGTGGAGAGACACTTGCTTAGCAAGGGCCATGAATGCAGCAGGATGTGACCAGGCAAACCTCTGTGCCCCCTACATAGGCCAAGGCAATCCACTGCCCCAGGCAAGCAGCAGGTCTGTGACACCATTCATTCCCCTCTCCCACAACAGCATTTCACCTGGGATCTCTTTTAAACTCTTTTCCCCAGAGAAATAACAGTCCTATGGGCACAGCTAGAGGGATCTCTCCATGCTGAATGGCTCTGACAGCACATGACAGGGCAGGGATGGCTGCAGCACACACAGCCAGAGGAGCAGGGAAGGCTGAGCAGCAGTGACACATCCATCCCACACGCTGTGCCTCCAGCTCAGGCAGCTCACTGGTGGGAGACAGCAGTGTCAGCCCATTCCAAGGCTGCTAAAAATCAGTTAGCAGATTAATTAGGGCAAGGTATTAACCCTTCAGTCACATCAAGAAGAACCGAGAGCCTAGACAGAGGCATAGGCATACCAGCTCCAGTCCGACTGTTCCCACTGTTCCATTCCTCGTGTGCCTGAATTCCTGCAGAATTGTGGCCCTTTACCATGCAAAACTCCTAGAGAAATCCAGCCCTGTAATGGGTTTCTTAAGAAGTAAAGTTTTTTTCAAGCCTTGCACAGTACATGTTTTCCCTGATACTTCTGTTTTCTATCTCCATACAATATCCCTGGATTTTCTGTGTAGTTATACAATGCCAAAGCCACCAGGGCAGCTCCCACTCCAGCACTACCCACATTCTGGCAGTCTAGACAGGATGGCTCCTGCTTTCCATGCAGCTGGCAGGGACCTCCTGTGGTGCCCTCGTGTCCTCTGTTCCCTAAGCACCAGCTGATGGATGTGTCCACATCCCCTTGTCCAAGTGTACAGCCAGGACAAACACCCTCTCCCTTCCCGAGACAATCACAACTCATTTCTTCCCAGCATATCCATGGGACAAATCCTCTTTGAAATCCATGCCAGTAGATCTGCAGCAACTGAAGAAGCTGGATGACTATGCATTAAAAGTAAGTCTTGCTCTTACCTCTGTCCTCCTGCCCTGCTTCCCTCCAGGGATGTTCCATGAACCCTGGCTCCAAGCACCAACACCAGCTCAGGCTGAGCTATGGGGCAAAAATCTCCCAAACAGGTGTAAAACATTTCCATGCAAACATTAGCAAATAGATCCTACTCTGGGAGGGAAACTAGAACCAGAAATGCATGGGCCTACAGCTTAGTAGTTTTATTTTTAAGGCAGCTGGGGCCAAAGCAGCCTGTGGCATGTGGGGAAGGATGGGACACCTACCACAGCGATTTCTTCACCACAACCTTGTGATATTTCCTCCTCACACACAGGTGGATGTCAAGACTAGCGTGGAGGAGCTCGTCAAAGCCCTGCTCAAACACGCCCGGACAGACCTGGAAAAGGTCCGAGCCATATGGATGTGGATATGCCATCACATAGGTAGGCTGAGACCTCCAGCTGGAGATGAGGCTGATGTTGTCACCCCCATCCCACTGCCAGGGCACTTTACTGTATCTCTGTGGATTAGTTCCAGCTGTCTAAAGGTATTAACCCAGAAATGCATTCAGAGGTTCTCTCAGCACCTCTGGCCCACAGTCCCTCTCCTTACACCCCCAGGTCCCACAAGGTGTGTGTGTACACGATGAACCTGTTAACTTCCACCTGACTCATTTGAGGTGGAACCAGCCTACCCTGTGTCATGGAAGCAGCTGCAGCACTAGGCCAGGCTGCTCAGCACCAGGGGCTTGGTTGTCCATCCAAAGTCACCATCACCAGATCCTTGTGCTGCAGAGGTGCAGAGGGAGCAGGTGATGACACAGATTTCAGACACAACCTGTTCTGGTGGAAGGTGTCCTTCTCATCCAACCCTGAGCCAAGCTACACTGGAGTTTCAGGAAGCACCAAGAGATGGGAGAAGGAGGCAGCACTTGTTGCCTCTCCACTCTGGCACATCAAAGAGGGCAAAAGGTTTCTTGCTGCCTCAAACTTCTTGTTGGGGGAAAATTGGATGTGCAACATGGTTGCATTTTGCATATAGCATAAGCAAAACTGGTTTTTTCCCATTAACTCCTGTGAGCAGAGAGAGAAGCACAGTTGTCCTTTCCCTCACCTCTTACACGTCCTGATGGGCACTGTGTGGTGTGGGGCAGCTGATGGAGAGGAAACGAGCAATTTGGGCAGCACTGGTCTAATCTCACACCTACTGAGATCAGCAGAGCTTTGCCAGCAACTGCACTGCTAGGTCAATCCCAAGCAGCTTTAATTTTGCCCTGAAACATGCAGAGTGCTGATTTCACTGTGTTTCCTGAACTCCAGATTTGACTCACTGCAGCACTAATCTGTCCATCCTTGCACACTTAACCACTTCTGCCCGGGCCAGGCTGCTTTGGTCAGTCTGGTTGCTTCACACACACTTGGGGGACATCTCTGATCCCTGACAGGTGCTCCTCAGGATCTCCTCGCAGGATTTTTTTATGCCACCTTGGCCCCAGTTCTCCTTCCTTCCTGCAGAGACTGACCCTATTTACACATATGGGAAAGAAACGCAGAGTTGGGACCTTAAACCTGCTGGCAAAAATACACCGTGTCTATCCTGGGAGAGCACTGATGGTACAAACTCCTTCCTCAGATGGATTCTAAGTGAGAGGACTGCTCCCTGGGCATCTCTTCCCACCCAGTTCAATCCCTGCCCACAATGGGCTGCTATGCCCAATGCAGCAGCAGCACTGAAAATTATTTTAGCTCTCATTTCTGGCACAAACACAGAGCTTGGTGCAGCCAGCCAGCTCTTCATACCCCTCCCAGTGCTCTGTGGCTTTGCTGGTGGCCAGTGGGGGAGAAGCCTCTCCCTGCACCCTGGAGCCAGCACCGAGGAAGGCTCAGCTGAGTCCCTTGGACAAAAGATAAGCAGTGGCAGCATTTCACCAAAGCACACCCAGAGCCTGCTGCCAGCTTTCCCTCCTCTGCCCCAGCGCCGAGGGGAGGGTGAATCAGCTGACGCAGCAATCCCGAGAGCTTTGTCAGAAAAATACATCTGCATTTTAAGAAAGAGGTTGTGGACGTGGCCAAGGTCGGTGGGTATTGAATTAACCTTCCGGACCTGTTCCTCGGGCTCTGTCTGAGGGA